GTGTTTTAGCTATCCTTATCACACCGCATGACTTCTAGTAGTTCCCCCTACTAGCCACGTGTATCAAGCCACCCTTATCTCACCGCATGCGTTTCAATACCCAGACCTCCGCATGCGTATCAATATCACAATATATCATAATTTGCACCTCAAGTGCCCAAATATTTCAATTTGCCAAAATAAATCAACGATATTTTCCACAATAAAGAGCTCACGGCTCATGCCAACACAAATTATCAAATATATTTTTTCACAATAAAGAACCCACGGCTCCATCATAATGAGTACAAAAATCTTACAAAAATATTCATGAATAAATAATTTAGCAAAATAATATTTCCAAATCTTCAATACGTTGCTTCAATACCAAATTTAAAATGTCAAATATTTCATATTAATAATATTTAATTTTTTAAAAAATATATTTTAAATAATGCATAGAATAAAAGAAACCAAGTTTCCACCAAACAGGTAAAACAATTAGCAGGAAAAGGTCAAGCAAATTTAAATTATATAAATCAAATCAATGATGGAGGATATAACAAGATTTAATAAATTAATTAATATGCAACAGTGATCTTCACAATTTAAAAACATAATCCTTCACGTTTAGTCTGTGTACACACTCGTCACCTCGTGTATACGACTTTCATCACATTACAATTAATAGCAATCCTAGGAGAAATTTTCCCCACACAAGGTTAGACAAGTCACTTACCTCGACTTGCTCCAATTTAACCAAGTAGTATGCTTTTTCCTCGATTTTTCGATTCCGGTAGACTCGTATCTAGTCATAAATAATTCGATACAGTCAACAAAATTTATAGAATTAATTCTATAAGGAAATACTACATTTTTCAATAAAAATCCGACATTAACTCAAAAATGGCCCGTGGGGCCCACATATCGGAATCCGACGAAAGTTACGAAATATGAACGCCCATTCAATCGCGAGTCTAACCATACCAAAATGACTAAATTCCAATAACAATTCGACCCTCAAATCCTCAATTCTATCCATGAGGGTTTTTCAAAAGTTTCCAACTTAAATCACCAATTAAATGTTAAAACAGTGATGGATTCGGGTAATCTAACCAAGATTGAGTTAAGAACACTTTCCCCGATGTTTTCTCTGAAAATCTCCCAAAAATCGCCTCAATCCGAGCTCCAAATCGTTAAAAATGGAAAATGGGACGAAGTCCCATTTTCTGAACTTAAACATTCTGTCCAGTGGTTTCTTCTTCCCGAACGCGACCCTTGTCTTGCGTTCGCGAAGCACAAAAATGTGCTGCCCAACTTTCCTCTTCGCGAACGCAAAGCTTTGCAAACTCAGACCTTCGCGAACGCGTCCCTTATCTCGCGAACGTGTAAAACAAAAGACTGGGGTTCCCAGCTGCCTCGCTCTCCTTCGCGAACGCGACGCCACTCACGCGTTCGCGATGCATACACTACCCTACCCTTCGCGTTCGCGTTCGCGTCTTCTCCTCTGCGAATGTGTAGAACAAAAATTCACCATCCCAGAACACTCTTCGCGAACGCGAGGCTCCTCTCGCGAACGCGAAAAAGGAAACCAGAAAAATTACAGCAGTAGATATTAGCCATCTCACCAAGGCCAAAAATGATCCGTTAACCATCCAGAACACGCTCGAGCCCCTCGGGACCTCAACCAAATATACCAACAAGTTCTAATACATAATACGAACTTAGTTGAGTTTTCAAATCACACCCAACAACATTAAAAATACGAATCACACATAGATTCAAGCCTAATAAACTTTGAAACTTCTAGTTTTTACAAATGACTCCGGAACCTAACAAATCACGTCTGATTTACCTCGAATTCTGCGCACAGGTCATAAATGACATAACGGAGGTACTCAAATTTTCAGAATCGGATTTCGACCCCGATATCAAAAAGTACATCCCTCGGTCAAACTTTCCAAAAATTCAACTTTCGGCATTTCAAGCCTAATTCCACTATGGACTTCCAAATAAAATTCCGATCACGCTTCTAAGTCCAAAATCACCATATGGAGCTGTTGGAATCATCAAAATTTTATTCCGGGGTCGTTTGCACATAATTCGATATCCGGTCACTATTTGAACTTAAACTTTTAATTTTTTTATCAAAATTCCATATCTCGGGCTAGGGACCTCGGAATTTAATTCCGGGCATATGCCCAAGTCCCAATTCACGATACGGACCTATAAAACTGTCAACATACTGATCCAAGTTCGTTTGCTAAAAATATTGACCAAGGTCAATTCAGTTGAGTTTTAAAGCTCTAATTCACATTTTAATTTATTTTTCGCATAAAAACTTTCCGAAAAATTTTACGGACTACGCACGCAAGTCGAGTAATGATAAATAGTACTTTTCAAGGTCTTAGGACATAGAATTAATTATTAAATTTAAAGATAACATTTTGGGTCATCACATCTTATTGGTATAGTGAAATTGCTCTTCTCCACTTGTGGACGTATGTCACACTGACCGAACCACGTTAAATTAGTATCTTTTTTATCTACTTTAATTGTCGTTATTATCAACTTGCATTATCTTTGTTATTGTCATTATAATATTATTTGGCTAAATTTCGCATTACCCGAGTTCCTGATCCTAACAAATTGGTATCAGAGCCGGATCTAACCGAGTTTGTTTCAGTAACCAATATGACTTTAAGAAAGACTTATGTTGAGAAATTTGATCGAAGTGCAAACTTCATAATGTGACAATTAAAGATGGAAGCTATCCTAATTCAGAATGACTTAGATTTGGCGTTGCAAGGAAAGGAGAAGAAGCCGGATAAAATGGCGGATGAGGAATTTGCCGTCATATACAAAAAGGCAAAAGCAGGTATTATTTTAAATCTCTCAAATGCAGTTTTATGTGAAGTTTCTGTAAAAACCACAACCAAAGGCATGTGGAAAAAATTGAAAACCTTATATACAAAGAGGACGGTGGAAAATAGACTTTAACTAAAGCAGAAGCTTTATACAATTCGTATGGGTGAAGGTACCTCTATTCTCTCTCATCTTGACACCTTTGATTCCATTCTTATGGATTTGAGTAATATAGATGCTGAAATTAAATATGAGGATCAAGCCGTGTTACTGCTTTGTTCTCTACCCCCATCTTTTAAGCATATAAGAGATACTATGCTTTATGCAAAGTATAATATCTCTTATAAGGATATTAAATCTAAAATCAAAAGAACAGATAGATAGTGATATTACTTGGGAAGCTAGTGGAACTCAAGTGGAAGTTGGCTTATTTGTTAGGGGCAAATCCGACTCAAAATCCAGATACAATAATTTAGAGTGTCGCTATTGTCATAAGAAAGGTCACATAATCTCTGAATGCTATAAGTTGAAAAACAAAGAAAAGCATAAGGAAAGGAAAAATGAGCACAAAAATACTAACACTGCCGAAGCAAGTGTAGCTGCTGATGAGACTGAGAGAACTATTTTTTTAGCAACTAATAATAGTTTCAAATCTAACAATGAGTGAAATTTAGATTCAGGTTGTTCTTATCATATGTGTCCCAATCGGGATTTATTTACCATATATGAATCTATTAGAGGTAGAGTTGTCTTGATGGGCAACAATGCTGCCTGCAAAGTTTTTAGAAAAGGTACAGTCCGAATCAAAATGCATGATGGTATGGTGAGAATTTTCACCGATGTTAGACATGCTCCTGACTTGAAAAAAAATCTCATCTCTTTGGGCACTCCAGAATCTCTTGGGTGCAAGTACGCATGTGAAAATGGAGTTCTGAAAATTTCTCATAGTACTCTTCTGATCATGAAAGCACACAGATCTGGTTCGTTGTATACTTTATTGAGATCCACTGAGTTTCGGTATCAAGACAACTTGTCTGATTTTGATGGCATTAAATTTTAACATATGCCCATTGGGGCTTATGCGGAGAGGGTGGAGCAAATTTACTATATCAGCCAAAATTAGGCTAAGGTGGAGATATGTAATATGGCCAATATTTTGGCTAATGGATTCCATATCACATAAGCATACGCATATTTGCAAAGTGTAGACTTTGTTGGTAATATTCTTTGGGACCTAAAAATATTGCATTGTGCGGTGGATATCATTTGCATAAGTTGTATCTTTTCTTTTACAACTAAGAGGTCAAGACTTTTTTGCCTATAAAAGGAAAGGACACTAGTTTATTTTAAGCACACCAACAAGACTTAAGTCTTCATTTCTTGTTTCTTCCTTTCCTCCTTTATTAAGAGTGTTCTGTATGAGAGTTGAGTGTTGGAAATCACTTGTGTGAACTCTTTCTTTGGAGTGATCTTGTGAGGTTATTCTCATAGGGTATTTGGGATTAATTAGAGTATTTACTCTAATTTTGTACTCTTATTGGTATAGTGAAATTGCTCTTCTCCGCTTGTGGAAGTATGTCACACTGACCGAACCACGTTAAATTGGTATCTTTTTTTATCTACTTTAATTGTCGTTATTATCAACTTGCATTGTCTTTGTTATTGTTATTATAACATTGTTTGGCTAAATTTCGCATTACCCGAGTTTCCGATCCTAACAAATTTATTATGATTGGATACATAGAATTCCTATACCCTTAATAGATCACAGAGCTTGGGTTTGAGACTTAAATATGTAAAAACATTGATGGAAAACACTTTCACTTTAGCAAGCCTTATGTGATATAAATCCAATCCAAATTAGTCGGAAATTCATGCAGGTATTGAACAGCCAGAGAGAGAGAGAGAGAAAAGAATTCATAGCAAAACCATCCCTTTGTCGTCATTTGAAATGCATTGTCTAACACGAAAATACAAAAGAAAAAGTAAATAAAGTCGAGGTTCTAGCACGCTCTTCCGCCGCGCGTAGACTAAGAAATTTATTTTATTTGGCGGCATCACTTCACCACCACTGCAAATATTCCTGTACTTGATGCCTTCCCTTTCCACTCCCCCCCTCCCCCCCTCCCCCTATAAAAGCAAGCAGAAACGCAAACACAATCAAATTCCCTCATTTTCTCCAAAACCAAATTCTCTCAATCGAAACCTTTACACTAAGAACCAAAGTACTATCTCCGGAATTCTCCAGAAGTTTCTACAACAGTATATACCTGAAACAGCTACCTATGGGAAATTGTAACAACGATGACTTCTGGACCTACACCTCCGCTACATCTTTCGTTGATGATCGTCGATTCTCCAAACACGTTCATGACAATGTCCACGGCAACATCTATCTCGATCGTGTACGGTTTCTAACTCTGCATTGCATGCTCTAATTCTTATCAAAATCGTAGTTCGTTTTTGCTTATCAGAAATTTTAGTTCATTTTTACTTTTTTTTGCTTTCTAAATGAATAAATTTGTTTCCGTAATTTGAGTTTCCTTTTCCTGTTTGAGTTGAAATTTCATTAGCTTATGCTTTGTAATTCCGTTATTCTGCTTTGCATGTTATGTTCGTGTTTGCTTTTCAGCACATTAATTTCTGCTCTTTTTTCGTTTGAAATTATGTAATTGACTTTATAATCTGAATCTAGAGAGGTGAAGTTTCTTAGCCGGTGCTTTCTGATTCCGTTATTCTGCTTCGCGTGTTGTAAAGCTTATAAAAATCGGAGTACGTATTTGCTTTTCAGAATACTTATTTTTACTTCTTCTGTTTTTTGCTTTTGATTCGAGGAAATTGATTCGATAAATTGAAATTATTTTTCATGTTCGAGCATGAGGTTTCGTAGCGTATGGTTTATAACTCTGTTACAGTGCTTTGCACGCTGTAGTTGTTTCCGAACACGGTGTTAACTGTTAACCTTTGCTTTTTCTATAAGTATATTAATTTTGCTTTTTCTAAAGTAGTATTTTTTTTTTTCAAAAATTTGAATATTAAAATATATTATCATTATTTTGCTTCAATTGAAGATATTGATTCGACGATTTGAAGTTTTTTTCTATTCAAGTTCCGTGGTTTATATATGTTGGATGTATGCTTTGCGTATACGCAAAAATATATGTGTAGTAGTTTGTGAAAAAGGAAAACACTTCCCTTTTCTGGTTAGGGAACAGAGGAACAGCTGATAGTCAAGTCTCTGTTTGGGCCTATAAACGGCTATTTTTACCATGCTTAGCGTAGCAAGGCATATGGATTAGGCTAAATGTGAATTTTAATTTATTTATGTCTCCCGCTAAATATGATTGCGACCAGTTTGACTTCTTTCGGTACCTTTTTCTGATTCATTTATTCTAAAAATTCGTTGACTATCTCTTTTCATAGTTGTAGACATTTATTTAGGGGACAGGTAATTTTCTTAAGCAATAGTGTTTCCTTCACAAAAAGCTGAAAACATATTTTGTTAAAGTAACATAAAGTATATATACTGGCATGTTCGATATATGTTTTCTCTGATATCTGCACTTAATTGATGAAGATATCGGATTTTTTAATATTCTTTGTAGTATTTAACAACAGTTCTGCTCTTTAACTGCAGCTATCTCTGAAGTTCATCGACACCGAACAATTTCAGAGGCAAGCTTAATTTTTTTTCCTGCTCCAGAGCTTTTTGATTGACTGGAAATAATTCCAATTGTGCTTTCTTGTGTATTTTACAGGCTTCGCGATTTGAAGCAGCTAGGTAATCATATCCTATATTTCTTTTGTTCTTTTCAAGTTTTTTTCTGCATACGTAAAGCTGTTTAGAAAAACTCTCTAATGTTTAGGATAATGATTACCGGTGAAATAAGTTTTTAAAGATTTGCGAATGTACATCTTTCAGGCTTGTACAATAGAAATTGATTGTGTGGTGTCACAAACACGTTATTAGATTTTGTGTTTCAACTGTTGTTGAACAAATTGCCCCAGGTGTATCCACTTTTATGTCCTTCCATGTTAGGGAAGCTTAGTACTAATAAGTTTTTAAGTTGCTGCACGATAATTCTTGTATGATAAATTAGCTAAACTTGACTCTCTTGGACAATTTGTGGCATGATGGTGCGAGCATCTGGACTACCATTAGCTTGGCTCCCCGACTTTGTTATTTTAGTGTCAACGTGTTCAAATTTTGAAAGAACAAGTTCTCTTCTCAAGAATATTTTCTTCAGAGAAAGGCTAAAATAAAGTGAGAAACAAGATTTCTATATGTGGTGGCATATGACCATTTTAACTTTCTACTCTTTAGGCACCATCAACTCTTTAATTCAGCAAGCCTGTGTTTCAGAAGACTTCATCATATCTAGGTCATCTATATATGCATGCTAGTGTTCAAAGCAACCAATTTTGTAGATCATAAATGCAAGTTGTCTTTTACTAACCTTCTTTTAGGAAAGGAGGATAGTGAAGTTCCGGTCAATCATCAATTGAAGTTACTGGTAGCAAATTGGTCCTTTTGCAATAGCAAATATCACTTTGATCAAATTGTGAAGCCACTAAACTTGTAAAGGCAGATTTGTGTTTTGTTCCTTGTTGGTGTTCGTATCAGATACAAGTAATGTGGATTAAACTTCTTCAGGAAGTTTATGCGGTCTCTATCATTTCTGAACTTTTTCTTTTCAGGGCTTTACCATCATTTTGGATTTATAACTTGTAATTTTGACTCGATCTCAATTTCTGTCGTAGGTCTTACATACATGGTCTACCCTGGGGCTGTGCACTCTCGATTTGAGCATTCCCTAGGGGTCTATTGGCTGGCCAGTGATGCTGTAAACAGACTTAAGACCTGTCAAGTAGGACTATATCCTAGTGGCATAATTTACATTATATTGGCCCTTTATTTGATAAAATGTACTTGATGGACATGCCGTGATTGTAGGGAGTGGAGCTTGGCATTGAATCTTTTGACGTACAGACTGTGAAACTTGCTGGTGAGTGAAATATACTAGCTAAGGTTCATTATTCTCAACAGCATCTGGCCATTGTTCTTACTTGAGTTCATTTAGGATTACTACATGATGTGGGTCACGGGCCATTCAGTCACATGTTTGAGCGTGAATTTCTTCCTCGGGTTCGTGACGGCCTTAAGTGGTAATTGCTAATAATTTTTTTCTCTTTTTCATCAGTCAGAACTCAAAGATTTGATACAATGAACTTTATTCTACATTTATCATGATGACTGCTTCAATATATAATTCTCTTCATCTGTTAAAAAGAGAACTCCTATAGTGCTCCCCTGAGGAGATATTTGGTCCTGTTGGCACTATAAGTATTTCCTAAAACTCTTATTACTTATTGGGCATCAATGCGTGATTATGTGGTTATATTCTTCTACCAATCTGTGCCCTTTCTTCCATCTTGAGTGAAGATACTCCTCTGTCCTCTTCATCCAAAAATTTGTCAATGACTGAAGGAGGGAGTCTGTTTGACATTGCCACATCACTCACATTATTCATGGGTT